CTTCCTCCCGTTGGAGCAGGGATTGGGAAGGTGCCAGCAAGCTGTACCCAGGGACTGGGAAACAGATGTGACTCGGAGGTGAGCTGTTTGTCTAAAGCATTTCTTCTTCCCTCAGTCCCTATCCCTCACTCCAGAGTTGCCAATCTGCTTCCTTCTGGAGAGGTGGGTAGTTATTCCCATTTTACCAACTGGGGTGGCCGGGGTGGGGGGTGGGGGGGAGGCAATGCTGAAAAAAGTTGCAGACTCATGCTTCCAATCCTCCAGCATGGGGTCATTGGACCCCAGATGTGCATGACACCAGGCAGATCTACGGAAAAGGAGGTAAAAATATCAATAATGACTTAAGAAATGATAATATCCAACACTCACTGAATGCTAGGCCTTTCCATAGTACAGAGGAGGAAACCAAGGAGATGAAGGGATTTATCCCGAGTTGCACAACAAATACGGGGTTCAAGCCTGTTTAAAGCCAGGGCAACTCCAGGATTCGAGACACAATTGCTACAGCCGCTCGTGAGTGCGGTGCCACTCTGTGCTACTTGTTTTTCTGGTAAGGCTTCTCACCGAGTCCTCACCAGCAGCAACCCTGCGAGCTGCCAACTAGGATGCCCCTTCTGAAAGATGCTGAGGCCCAGCTGGATGACAAATGGTAAGAAGTAGGGTGTGGATTTGAATCTAGAGCTAGAGAAGGAATGGAGCTCCTGGCTCTTTCCCCTTTCACAACGCTCACATCTGCGGTGGGGAGAAACAACTGGAAGTCTCCAGGGACTGGCCCATCCCTCTCCAGGCTCCTGGGGCCGCCAAGCGGTACCAGGGCTGGCTGCCGCCTTCTCTTCTCGCCCTCTCCCCCCTCCCCCGCCCCCAGGGCATCCTCATTGTGGGCTTCTTCCAGGGCACCGGGTCGAATTAGGCTCGTCGTCCCACAGCAGATCTCAGGCCAGCCTCCCTCCTGTCTGCGCCTCCACATCTTCATCTGTAAAATGGGAAACCAGTGAAAGTTCAGGCTTCAGGCAACCTTGTGCAATCTGCAGAGCACTTTGGCAAAGGACCCTTTTTTCCAGTGGGCGGGGGCCCTGGAAAACCGGTTTGAACGTCCAGAACTTCTAAAACGTGGGATTTATCGTCCTCCCCCGCCCCCCAAGCAACCTCAAGCAGCAACACCGAACGCCAGTCTACCCCTCCTCCCGCTCCGTAACTCTGCAAGTGATCTCTTAAATGCCTGGAGATATGCCCACCCCACTACAGTCTGATTGTCCTCATTCCTACTTCCCACGGCACAGGTAAGGAACAAGCTCAGAGAGGAGCAGCCTTTTCCCCGAGGTCACACAGCGAATGACTGGGAGAGTGGGGGCGGTGGCGGAGCCGCGTTGTGGCATTCCAGGCGGACATTGGCGCCCGCGTGTCTGCCCGCTTCTGATACCGGGTTCGGAAGAATAGGCCGCTAACGAGAGGCCCATTAGGAGGAATTGTCACTCCTCTGGGAGCGAGGTTGTCCCATTAGGGCGAATTGTCATTCCTCCTGGAGCGAGGTTGTCCCGGCTCCGCGCAGGCTGAGTGCCGGGGCCGAGAGCAATTAACGCGGCTCCGGCGCGGGCAGCCGCCTCTGCCCGGGGCAGCGGGGGCGGGGCGGGGCGGGGGCGGGGCGCCCGGCGCGGCTGGAGCTGGTCACCCGGCGCAGCCCCTTCCCCTGGAGCCCGCCTTTCATCTCCCCGCGCCTGGCGCCTGCCCGCAGCCCTGGCCCGTCTACAGCCCCCTCCTCCGCCCCTCCCCCGCCTCCTCCGAGCCGCCGGGATCCAGCGATGGGTCCTGGGGGTTGCAAACGCTAGGGTCCGCGCCCCGTCCTCCACAGTTTGCAAGTAGTGTTTTTACATTGGGACCTGCGCTGCGCGTGCGCGGCTGCTCGGTGCAGGGCCCCGGAACGTGCTAAACCCCCCGGGAGCGCAGGACTGTGGAAGGATGAGGGTCCGTGAGGAGGCGCCCTGTGCTGCGCGTGGGGATCCCGGGTCCTCCACTTCCAATCTGCGTGACTTTGGGTAGCATACTCCGTGCTTCCTAGCCTTAGGCTTTTCCCTGTAAAATGGGGGAAATAATCCCCGCCCGGAGCGGTGTGTTGGAAGAAACAAATGAGATCCTGGAGGACAGGTACTAAGGTATCTTGCAGAGTTGACGTTTCGCGCTGGGGTTCCTTCTGAAACCCCACTGTTCTTCCTACAAATACTGCAGCTACGTCAACGTCCCCGGGAACTAACCTTTACTAAGTCTCCCCTAAGCGCCATAGTCAGTCCTGTGACAAGGGGCTACACCTACACCGCGCACTTTTAAGGCTGCGCAAAATTCTCAGCCCGGGAGATTTTACGAAGAACCTATCCTGAACTCTGTGAAGGCTGGCGATGAGCCTCATTTTGGATATCTAGCAGAGAGAAAGCATTCGATAAATTGCTCCTGCTTCTGACATACAGTATTTTTTATTGATCCCCTACACCTTCTAGTTACTTTATGTAGCCTATTGAATTTAATTACTGCAAGAGCCATCTGGGAGGTAAGGATTATTAGCTCTCATTTTAGAAATAAAAAAGCAGGTTGAGAGAGGCAAAGTAACGCGACTGAGGTCGCACGGCCAGGAAGAGGTGAATAAAATGTCCAGAAAATACAGCCAACGCAGAAGCAAAAGCACAGAGGGGGCTTTCCGTAAAGGGCTAGGGTTCTGTTGAGGTTCGACCTTTTTTCTAACTGAAGTGAGACCCTTTCCTGAATTTTCCCACCCCAGCAGGGAGCTGGGAATGGGGAGGGTAGAGGAAAAGGTGGGCAGGCTGGTTGCCCTCTGGGCATCTCTCCTGCTCATTTATGGACAGAGCTTGGCATCGCGGCTTTGAACACCAGTTTGTTTGTTTGTTAGCTTGTTTTGTCTCTATTTTCCTCTTTCCAGCTTCATAATTTGCTTTCTCTGTCTGGACATCAGGACCTGAAAGTAGTGAGGGGAACCTGTCCCAGAAAAGTTCATTAAAACAGAAGAGCTCTAGTAGTATATATTTTTAAAATTCTTCCCAGGAATGAGCCTGTGTGCCCCCAAATTGGCAAATATTAACAGAGAGTTTTCAGGAACAATTATAAAACAGTGTTTGGGTATAGCCCAACTGAAAGCTGAACCCTTTTGTACACTTTGGCAGCTTAGGGCTAAACGAATTTCAGGTTTGCTTCCAAAATGTATAGGCTGCACCTTGCTGGGTATCTCTAGAAGGCACAGGACTTAATCTGGATTTACCTGTACTATATTTGAGATGTATATCAAGCCAACTATCATCAAGTATGACTTAAGGGAGACATGCATACATCTCCAGATAGTTTACATTTTTTTTTTAACTTTCTTTGAGCTTCCAATTTGTTGGGAGGGGGGTGGAGGGAAGAATATGGTTGGTGGGAGAGAAACCCAGAGGTTTTAGAAGACTGTGGTTAGGACTTCTTTACTTTTTAACTTTTTCAGAACCATTTCTAATCAAACTGAATTAATTGGCCTGCGCAGACTGTTTTTACCCCGCTAAGATTCAGATCATACCTATTCAGGGTATCCTCGGCCAGCACAGTTTCACTCTAGGCAGAGGTTTAGGATGAAGGAAACAGTGCATCAGAGAGATGGGTCTGGGGGTCAGGTTTCTAAGACTCTTGAACTGGGAGGTAGCCTCCAAACCTTGATCATTTCAGTAATTAAAAACAATGTCCCTTCCTTCCAAGGGTCTGGGAACTGTTTAGCAAGCATCTGCTGTGTGCGAGCCCGAGCTCGGAGACTTCTATTTATCTCATCATTCCGGGTTAATCGTTGAGATATAGGGAAGAGCAGCTGCAGCCTGGAAAGGGTCATTTGGAGCACTTTGGTCTTGGCCCGCCAGCCTGCGGAGAGACCCAATGCCTCTCTCTGCGCACTCTTAGCTCTCTCCCCTGTCCCTGGGCTGTACAGTCATCACTAAGGCTTTGAGATGTAATTACCCAGGGTATAATTTGGGGTGGGGTGAGGATATCTATGCTTTTTTTTGTTTTCAAACCAGGTGCAATGAATAAAAATGTGCTTCTCAAAAATGTACATAGGCCTGGGGTGTGCAAACTCGGAAGCCGGTATTTCTGAGATTTGCAAGAGGAAGGGAAGCACTAGGTATTATTGGCGCCTTTTCCTTCCTCCTCCCCCTTGAAGGCAAACACTGGCACCCAAACACATGACAAACATAGGCTCAAACAAACGCACGAACACACAATACACGTAGTCCTTAGGAAAAGGTCGGATCCGGGTGTCGCCCAGAGAGGAGATTCGAGGGAAAGAAAACACGCGGACTGCAATTTTTCTAAGAGTGCGCTGGTTTTGTTTCGAGTGGAAGAGATGGGGACCACTGCTTTAAATTTTCCCGTCAGAACTTTGGAAGACCAGTCCCTGACCACCTCTCGGGCGCTCTCGGTCCCTTCTTCTTCTAGGGGTAATAGCTTTCGCTGTAGAGCTTTTGCCAATGGCGAAACAAATACTCTTATAAGCTCCATGTATGTATTACTGCCTTTAGCAGGGATGCTGGCCCGTGTTTTCAGTGCTGACTCCTAAAGTTAGCTCAGTTTCCACGTATAGTAGGAGCTTCACAAATGTTTTTGCAATGTCAGTTGCAGATTTTAAACGTGTTCTGGCGGTGGGGGTTGGGGGAAGTGGTATGGGCGCGAGGTGCCTTTTTTAAAAGGGGTCAAAAGAGAGAAGAAATGGGACTCGGCGAACTTCCTCTTTAAATAATCGGCCTTAATTACGCCATGGACTTTTCAGTTTTGGCGTGATTATAACCCTTGAGGGATCGCCTAATAACAACTCTGCTGACTGCTCCTGTAATTAACTCCTAATTTATTTCAAACAGGAAAAAAAAAAAAAGGCCCCAGCCTCTTCCTGGAGAGCCAATCAGAGGCGAGCGTCTGTGGCGTCAGCTCCAGAGCCGGCGCCGATTGGCTGAGCCGAGTCTCCCACTTCCCCTTGGAGGAAAGGCTCGGCTCCCGGCGCGCCCCTCCCGTCTCCCCCCAAAAAAGTTTGAGTCGCCGCTGCCGGGTTGCCAGCGGAGTTGCGCGCGGGGAGCTACGTAGGGCAGAGAAGTCATGGCTTCTCCGTCCAAAGGCAATGACCTGTTTTCGTCTGATGAGGAGGGCCCGGCGATGGTGGCTGGGCCGGGCCCGGGGCCTGGGGGAGCGGAGGGGGCCGCCGAGGAGCGCCGCGTCAAGGTCTCCAGCCTGCCCTTCAGCGTGGAGGCGCTCATGTCGGACAAGAAGCCGCCCAAAGAGGCGTCCCCACTGCCAGCCGAAAGCGCCTCCGCCGGGGCCACCCTGCGGCCACTGCTACTGCCTGGACACGGCGCCCGGGAAGCTCACAGCCCCGGGCCGCTGGTTAAGCCCTTCGAGACCGCCTCGGTCAAGTCGGAAAACTCCGAAGACGGAGCCGCATGGATGCAGGAACCCGGCAGATACTCGCCGCCGCCAAGTGAGTGAGCGTCCGGGCCGGACAAGGGGCAGGCGGGTCCGTGGATTTCTGGAGGGAGCTAGGGGGCCGGTATTCCAGGCTGGGGGTACGGAGACCCCTCTGCACTATACTCCCGGGAAAGCGAGCCTGGGAGTTCTTGGCCCCTTGATATCCCAGAGTTCTGCGAGCGGGCTGGAGCCAAGACACCTTCTGGGTCAGATCCGCGCAGCCCGTGTTCGGGATCCCCTAGCTGTGCAAAGTATCCGACACAATTGAGGATTCGCTGGTCTTTGAAGGGCGCAGCGTAGCTGGTTTTGCCGGGTCGCTCAGTTATCGGTTTCTCTAGCTCTCAGCCCTGCGCTCCAACCGCTTTGCTAATTTTTGTCTCACCGTCCACCGGGTTGCTGTCCGGAGAATGAAGAGGGATCCACTTTTAATGAGCACTCGAATATGTGCCAGGCAGAGGCCGAGGTGCCGTACCTCCTTTCAGAGTTCACAGCCCAGCGAGATGTGCCCTCATTTTAAAGATAAGTCTAGCTGAACTCTAACCCCCGGTTTTGGGTAGAAATCATTATCTTCCATGGGTCCCGCAGGATCCCAGGAAGGGATGGCGGCAGAAACTGATGCCGGGACGAAATGTCTCCCTGTCGTCCCAGCAGCCAGCACCTTCGCTGGGAGCGGGCGGGGGTCCGAAGCGCGTGGGCTCTCTGGGCTCATAGTAATAACTAACAGCCTTCCAGCAGCGTTTGACAGTTTACAAAATGATGCTCATTAGTTCACCAGATCCTGAGATCGCTGGAACCCCGAAGTGTAGGCAGAGGCACAGGAGAGGTGGTTATTCCCTATGCAGACACCTGGACTTTAAGAGGACTGAACTTGCTTGACCCAGGTCACCAACAATGGCTGAATTGGGCAAGGGGCTCTAGTGTCCAAGCTCTGCTCCTCTGTAGGGTGTCCTGACCACCTTTGATTCTTCTCCCCAGAGAAACCAAGCAGAGGTCCCCACACCTGCACCCCGCTTCCTGCCAATGAGGCAGGATGGCAAGCAGCCCAGGAGAATTGATTTCTCTTCCAGCTTTAGCACTTATTTTTGGGCCCGCGTCCTTAACGCAATTTGGAGAAGTCTATTCCTTATAGCCCCTTTTATTTTTATCTCCTGGCCTTTAAGATTTCTCTACCCCCCACTGCACCTTTAGAAAAGGTGAGAAAGAAGGGTCTGCCGAGGCACTTTTTCCAAAGCTGGGAGAAAGACCCACACCTTGCTTCATTTCCTTCAGTCAGCCCTCAAGACTGAGTTGCATAGTATTTTGTGAACAAAACAAGGCCATATACCCCGGAGGCAGTGGCTCTCCCCTCCGGCATAGCTCTCCACCCTGTTAGAAACTCTGAAAGATTCAAAGGGTGTGGAGATTAAGGACTCAAAGAATTTAAACTCAAGTTTGCACAGTGCTTTATAGCACTTTTCACCATATTATCTTATCTGATCTCTGTGTGTCCGCAGCCGGCCTCCTGGTAACAGACAAGGACGTTTCAGCAGAGTTCAGAGGAATCAGCACACACAGAGTTTGGGCTTGACCAATGACCCCCCTCCCCAAGAACAAAAACAAAAACACCTTGGCAATATTTAATGATCACCTATCCAGTGGTAGACAGGGCTCTGGGCATTCTAAAATTTAGTACCCTGAACCACATAGCACAGTATTACCCATTTTATTGATGGTGAAATAGAGGCTCAGAAACTTTAAGGAACCTAATTTGTTAGACAAATACTGAGTGCGCATGTTTTTCTAGGCCTGGGTCAGTGCCCATCAGCACATCAAGGATTCGGGCCTTACAGGGAGCAGTGTCCAGAGGTTAGACATCCCCACTTCCTTAGGCCTTAGGGTTGTGGGATGGCAATTCCCCTCTCACTCTGTAAACCGCCCCCCTCCCCCCACAGAGAGGATGAACTTCCCTGCTTGGGGGCCCTGGATATGACCTTCCCATGAGAAAAATCCAAGATTCTGGAGAAAGGATTTAATTTTAAAACCAAAAGTGGTTCATTAGCTCTTTGGGCCTAGAAATGGCAGCAGAAGCCCTGTGGTTGGAATGGTGGGTCCAAGGAGCTTCTAGCACGGGAGCCTGGGGCAAGAGGGAGCCACTGGCCAGGTTTGTTATTTGGAGGAAGTAGGGTAACTGCCATTTTGCTTTGTATTATCCACATCCATCCTTTGACTGGTTTAAAATGGGGCGGGTAGGGGGGAGGTGAGGAGTGTTGAGAGGGAGCCTCTTAGCTACATGGCTTTGATACATGTGTGTAATCTCTGTAGCCTGGGTTTCGTAGTTCAAATGCAGCCTCTAGGAGCAGCAGGGATGACCGGGATGACTGTTCAGGGCACAAAGTTCCTGCAAACATAGAGCAAGATCAAGTGTAGACACTGGGAGCTTGGTATGTACCTTGAGACAGTGGGGTCCTCCAGGGAGCTAGGTCTGGTTTGTGAAGGGTGAAACCAAGTCTCTGAGTCTTCGACAGGGATGTTAGTTTATTTGTAAATTTAAGAACTAGGTGCCCAAGCTCTCTGGCTTATTTAGGGATTAGCATATGCAAGTCTGGACTTCTGTGTACCCATCCCTCTCTCTCCGGTTTCTGTTTTTGATCGATTGTAGAACCTACTGCTTCTTACTTTTTAGTCACTAAAGTGATGGTTAATAATGTCACCCTAGGAGGAATCCCTTTCTTGTTGGAAATGGAGGCTGGGTGGGACTTGTTGTGTCACCCTCAAGTATGAAGTGTAAACTCTTTCTTGGGCCATCGAAGTAACTAAACAAGAAATGCGACATTCTCCCCATGAGTACTTTGGAGTTACTACTGTGGCTACTTGTGGAAAATTAGCATAGCTCATAAAAGCCAAATGCAGAAAATTAATTGTTTAGCATTCTGTCCCACAGCTCCACACTCCTGCCTCCACCTCCCTTTGAGGAAAAGAAGCCCAAAGTTAGTTGATAACTATGGAATCACAAGGATGCCCAGTCCTATGACTTCCTATAATTGAATCCATTTTAAATATGGAGTCTGGATGCAGTTGGCATACCTTTATTTTGCTTGTTATTCCCTCTTTCTAAATTCTGGCGACAAACTAATCATTTACACATTTGCTCTAAACCAGAGAATGGTTAGAGATGACTAAAATGTCATCACATGCTCTCAACTTGGAGGCAGCATGATTTCCCCTGACATTTACATTTATGAGCAAGCTAATTTTTCCCTCCTTCTTAGTAAACTTTATATTACAGAAGCACCCGGCCAAGAAACTTATCCCACATCCAGATCTGTAAAATGATGTTCAGGTTTTATAATCTGTAGACTGGATGGAATGACAGCTGTGCGGTTGTTTATTGCATGGCGCTGCTCCCAATCGGGAGATGCTATTAATTTACCACGGACCTTTATCTGCACGATTATCCTTCATAAATATGCTGATGCACTCCAACTTTTGCTGGCGTGGAGAGAGGACCAACCCAGTTTATTGGACCCTTTTTCACTTGTCTTCTTACGACGGGCTTATCTCAACATCTTAGAGAAGTGAGGATTGTTATGAACCCAGTTCCCCATCTTAAAGGCCAGAGAACTTCAGCTCAGAAGAGATCGGGTTTTGTTTCTCAGAGAGCACTCTGACGCCCTTGACACCGGTTCGTAGCTCTTCTAGTTCCCTTATCCATAATGCTGTAATTTCCCATATAGAAAGTTCTGTACACTGAAATTCCCAAACTTTTTGTAAAAGACTCAATTTCTTAAATAAAGCAATTTATCCATTTAAATATGGTCCTCCTTCCCCCCCCCCCCCGCAACCCCCACGTGGATTTGACAGAAGTCCCTTTTTGAAAGATGAAGAGGGGAGGCCCACACAGACATACCTGGGAGAAAGCCACTTCTTTTGCTAATTCACTCCCTCTCTGTTCTCTAGGACACATGAGCCCCACCACCTGCACCCTGCGGAAGCACAAGACCAATCGGAAGCCAAGAACGCCCTTTACCACATCCCAGCTCCTGGCTCTGGAGCGCAAGTTCCGCCAGAAACAGTACCTCTCCATTGCAGAGCGTGCAGAGTTCTCCAGCTCTCTGAACCTCACAGAGACCCAGGTCAAAATCTGGTTCCAGAACCGAAGGGCCAAGGCGAAAAGACTGCAGGAGGCAGAACTAGAAAAGCTGAAAATGGCTGCAAAACCTATGCTGCCCTCTGGCTTCAGCCTCCCTTTCCCCATCAACTCGCCCCTGCAAGCAGCATCCATATATGGAGCCTCCTACCCTTTCCATAGACCTGTGCTCCCCATCCCGCCCGTCGGACTCTATGCGACGCCAGTCGGATATGGCATGTACCATCTATCCTAAGGAAGACCAGCTCCATAGACTCCGTGATGGATGTTTGTTTAAATGGGCGGCCCCCTCCCTCTCCAAGAAGGCAGTACCAAGCCTGTACTCCTGCTCTGCAAACCTTGCATGCGCCACCCTAAGCGGCTAGGCCCACAGGGCCACAGACATAGTTCGAATTTGTTCTTTAGGCTGGAGGCACCAAGCCCCATTTTCTTGGTGTGATCTTCTAGATGCCCCCTCCTCCTTTCACAAAGATTGGCTCTGATGGTTTTTCTATATAAATATATATATATAATAAAATATAATGACATTTTTATACAGCAGACGTAAAAATTCAGATTATTTTGAAAGGCAAAATTTATATGCACATATGTATACTTTTTTCTATATATCACCTTCCTAAAAGAGACTGCTTAAGTCCATTTGTTTTTTCTTATGGGAGAGACCAATTATTTGCTAAAATTGCTGACATTTGGTGATTTTGATGGGATGATTGACTTTTGCTTATGGAAAACAAAGGTTAGAATTAGGCACGATGCATAGGAAGTAGATATGGAGAGATTCCTCAAAATGACGAGGACACATCGTGTTTTTGCATTTTTACATGCATTTGAAACTCATTAGATACTACCATATTTGGCCTTATATTTTTCCCTCTGTCCACATTGTTGCAGATTGTTAAAGTTTTAATTTTTTTTTTTTTGGTAAGATCAATAAAAGGGGGATGAGAAGAATCCTGAGAATGCCTTGGGGTAAGGTGGGACTTGGAAGTACTTCCTAATTCCTCTCAAGGCTGTTGCTTAACTCCATTTCAGATAATTGGAGAGTAAAAAGTTAAAGCATGTCAGGGGAATTGATGGTTTCTGTGAAATACTAGGTACAAGTCAGTCCTCACACATTGCAAAGGTGATTGGGGGGTGGGGAGTGTAATTAATTCTCTGCTTAAAAAAAAAATAAATATACTTAACCATTACCTATATGCTAAATATTCTTGAACAATGAATAGATCCAGAAAGAAAAAAAAAATCATGCTTTCTCTGTGTGTGTACCTATTGTATGTGCTAAACTTATTAGAAAAATTTATATACTTTTTAACATGCTGGGGGCAGAGGGTAAAGCCATGTTTTGACTTGCTAAAAATGGTGTTGTCAAACAGCCCATTTAGCTCCCTGGTACTTCATCTTTCTCTCCATCTTTCCCCCCACCACCACCCAGTATACTTTTATCCCTTTGAAAGGGTGCCTTGTATAATTTTATATATTTTATTGAAGAGTTATTTCTTATCTCTTATTCTGAATTAAATTAAACGTTTGTTTTATTGCAGTAAAGTTTGTCCAAACACGGTTATTTTAAAGGGGGCCCTCTGTTCTTAGCTGAGTTCACCTCGAAAATGCCACCAAGATTGGGGAGGGGGCTGGTGGTTTTTATTATGATATTAGTGTGAATCAATTAAGACTTGTGCCCAGATTCGGCCTGGGGTGGGGGAGTGGATTGAAAATAGCCAAGGAAATACTTTGAAACGTTTCCTCTAGCAGTTTGTGTTACTCATGGAAAAGAAGTGGAATTGCTATTCGTTTTTCAAACTCTAGTGAAAGATGAGCTTAAAAGAAGTGGAGGGGCTGAGGGATCTGAGAGGTTTGTAGATGATCAAGGGAAAATCTTGAACTTGAAATCTCCCAGTTACCAAAACAGCAACAGATTTAAAACTGGGGGAAAGGGACCTATAGCTCTTTGCAAATGGAGATTGTAACTAATTCCCTGGGTTGGGGGGTGGGGGGTGGATGCCTTCTGCCCTTTCAGGAGTGTGTCAAATCGCATTCCGTTTACCATTCCTAACTCCTTCCAAGGAGATGGACCCCGAACAAATGCTCTTTTCGGTTTGAAGGAGGAAGGTGGTTCATTCAAGTCCCGTTTGCTTTGCAGGCTTCCTTTCCACTGGGTACAGAACAGGGTCAGACTTGGGTTTTGAGGCATCACCATTAAAAAAAAAAAATCGGCAATGGGTGGGAAGGCTGAGACGGATCTTAAATTCCACTTTTTATTGCACAAATAAATCAGAAATGGCTACTGATGGTACCTTTGGGAGGTCTGTTTTCGGATGAGCAGCCCCGGTGACCCTGGGAACGCGGGCAGAAGGGAATGGAGAACTCCTTGCGGAAGCTGAGCGGTGGGCAGACTGGCACCAGGCATCTCCGAGGACTGGCGCTTTCGTCTCACGTTCTCATTGCCCCGACACCCACTTTGGAGGTGGGCGCCAGAAACTCCATTTCCCGGTCGGGCGGAAGCTCCTAGGGGTCGGGCAACGGGTCTGAGATCTCCCAGCTCGAGCGCCGTGCGTGATCCAAGCCCACGGACCTGCTCCGAAGCTGGGGGCCGATTTCTTGCTTGCTCCGCCGCTGCACTCCCGAGCTGAGCCCCAGGAGTGTCCCAAACCTCCCCAATTTTCGCCTTTGCCATCCCGCTTGGCCTCCGCAGCCCGAACTCCTAATCCCAGTATGGAATCCAGCCATCCTCATTTATGGGATGCGTTTTCCAAAGGCCAAAAAGCCCTTCCCGGTTTCGTCAACAGCCGCCAAGTTGGGTCCCTAATTAGCCCGTCCACCGAGCTTCCTTCCCGGCGCCGCTAGACCCCGCAGCCTCAGGCGATCTCAGCCAGGGTGGGGGATCGGGACACTCCGGCTCCGGGTTAAGACAGCTTGCCCCTGGGAGGAGGGGTTCGCAAACCAGGGTGCGACTAGGAGAATCGGGGCTGCGACCTGCGTGACCAATGGGGTGGATTGGAAAAGGCCTGGGCGACTGCGCATTACCCCAATCGCCCCAAATCTCAAAGGAAAACTGAGGCCTGGAGAGAGAAAAAAAAAAGCGCCTCGGGCTCAAGCACACACACCCCGGCGCTGGGTGGATGGGGTGACCCTCCAAACCTCCTGCCCCGCGTTCGGGTCGGCTGTCGCCAGAGTCCCCACGTCGGTTGGGCTTGGTGTGCCAGGCGTTCCAGAGGCTCCAGAGACCGGACAAACAACCTGCGGCGGCAGGAAGACCCTGACTCACCCCGGAGCCGCGCAGCCGTGCCTACGGAATTAAAGCCGAAGATGCCAGGAGCCTGCTGGCCTTGGACATCCTCGCCCAGGTCGCCAGAAGCCTGGCACACAAATCCGCACGTCCTCCCATATGTTCAACGCTTTCCTCCAAACTTTTCCAGAAAGACAGCTCTGCTTTGGGGAAAGAGGGGAAAAAAGGAGAAGAAATCACATTTCTTTGAGCCCCTGCTCAGTGCGGCCAGAAGTAGGCACTTTCTCGCACCTCTCATTTAATCCTTGCACACCCCTGGGGGAGGTGTCCTTGATGCCATTTTATAGTTGAGGAAACTGAGGCTCAGAGGGTCACAGAGCCAGTAAGTGGCAGCGGCAGAATTCAGGCCTAAGCATGAGCCTTAGGTAGCGGGCATGAGGGCTGGCAAGCCCTGGGAGAGCTGTCTTACACATGACGTAGGGGCCTCCAGAGCTCCCCAGATTTCCAAACCCTAAGAGCCCATCTCTGCAGCGTCTCTCTCCATCCCCTTCCCCATCTCACTTGGGCACAGGGGGGGGCTTCCCCCTGAGTGCCCGCTTTTCCCTCACTGGGGACCTGGGGCTCAGCCTCCCCCCCTCCCCCCTGCGGCCCAGCAGAGGCTGGGCTGGGGCAGGGCCGGCGGGAGGTAGGCAGCAGAGGGCCGGCTGGCTGAGAGAAGGCACTGGCTAAACGTCTGCCTGACCTGACTGAAAAGAGGATCCTTGCCTTTGAGCAGAACCTTGTCTGACCGAATGAAAACTCCCACGGCCATTCTTTGCTATAAAAGCCGCTCATTTGCCACGGGTTGGAGAGGCCATTCCCCCACCCCCACTCCCTCACCACTGCTGGGTTTGGAATAAACATAAACCTCATTTATAAAAGAACCCACGTCACACACACCCTCCCCGAAAGCCCAGGGCCCAGTTGATGAAGTTGATTGCGCCTGTGTCCTTCTTCAGTGTAAGAAAAAAAAAAAAAAATTTCCAGATTGGTGATGCTGTAGGCCTCTTTAATGAAATTGGTCAGAGCAATGAAGAAAAGTCTGCTGTCAACTCCTGGACCCCTCTACCCCTCTCCCACCCCCACCCCCCAGCCCCCCCCCACCTCCTCCTTGCTAGAAACTAAATAAAAAGCAGTAAAATTACTTTCCAAAATAGCCCGCTTCAAAGCAGAACAGAGGACCAGGCTTCGGGAATCCTGAGTCCTGCCTTGATAAGGCTCATAATAATCAAATCCAAACTCCATCCACCTCCTCTGACTCTTTCCAACCTCCTCCGGACCCCTCTGCATTTGTTGATGAAAACACTTTGATGTCCTGAGTCCTCCAAACAATTATTATTATAATTTTAAACAACCTGGTATTTTCCATTACTAACGGCTCGAGCTTTGAAGTTACACCTCATAATTTCCTAAATTAAATAAATCATTTTAAGTTTGCACTGGGAGGCTTTTAATAGCAGAGAAAGGAATATCATTATCTTATTGAGACCCAATTGTGGTGGCTCCAGTTTGGCTGTAGCTAGGGGCAAAGTAGGCTCACTCTAACAGACATACTTTATTAACCTCCCATAACTCTTGAAAGAACATTTTTATATTTTCTTTGATTTCCCCCCTCCCTCTCTTGTTTTAAAGCTGTCCCAACCTTTAATTAGTGCCTAATATGAAAAGCATTATTTTTTTAATGCTATGTAATTTACCAGCGGCAACAGGCCAACTTAACAATTGTTTATTAGACTTGGTTTTTCACACAGGGCAAAGAATGCCGCTCCAAACCCAACTTTTCATGGGTGGTTGCACTAATTAATACAGTGTCTGAGGCTCCTAGGGGTTTTTTTAATATTGAAGCCTATGGGGGCGGAAGGGGGTTTTAGAAGTCCAGCTCCCGCCGCCGACGTTCTCGCTCTGATTTCTTTCATGCTGTTTTGATCCTGTCTGTGGAGTCAGCACAGACAGAAACTGCTCCCCAGCTCCGGACACCCCGGGGATCCCGAGACAACGGGCCCAGAACCCCAGCACCTCCACTTGTGATTTATGGCTTGTGGGGCCCAGGCTTGGGGTGCAGGGAGCCCACTGATCACTCTGCGCTTGGAGTGGGGACCCCCTCATTCAGCCAGGAGGGAGAAGGAGCTGGTCTGGGGCTCGGGTTGGGCGGGAGTCAGGCTGGTGGGGGCAAATGCCAGGGCTCCCAGGCACCACGTGGTGCCTGGCTCTGGGCACAGAATCGGCTGAGATGGAGGCAGGGCCTGGGACCCAGTGGGTAAAGCTGGGGAGGGACCCAGGCCAGGGCGCCTCCTCTTGCCCACTTCTCACTAATCTTTTCCCCTGTTTCCCCATTCTTTGTCTCTCCTTCCCCACCTCATCTTTAGTTTCTTCCCTCTCCCTTCTTCCCCCCACCCCCAACACACTTCTTGTCCTTTTTGGCTGTCTCCTTTATTTCCCTGTCCCTTCCCTTCATTCTTTTTCATGGTTGTCCCACTTTACATCTTTAATTTTTTTCTCACCGTCTATACAATTCCTTCCCGTGCTCTCATTCTCAACTTTCTCTTTTACCCTCTTTTCTTCCCTCTTCTTGTCCTGCCACTTTGCTCCCCCATTGCGTCTCTCAATATTTTTCCGTTTTCGATGTATTCTCATTCCCACTGTCACCTATTTCTCCCCTTCTGCTTCTCTGTTGCCTTTATTTCTCCCCCGGTTCCAGCGATTTCGTGCCGGACTCCCGGAGTCCGGCCCCAGGCGGGTCGGCCCGGCCTCTCTGGGCGCGGCGCCCTCGCGCCCGGGGGCCCCTCGCCACCACGTCCCCTCCGCGCCCTTCCCTCCCCCGCTGCACCTGGCCAGCGAGCAAGGGAGAGACCCCTGGGCAGGAGGAGGACACGTCACCCGTTTTCTCCCTGGAACCGCGGGCGTCGCGGGCGAGAAGGGCAGCGGCGGGCGGAGAAGGGCCGGGTCCCAGCGCGCGGCCCCTCTGCCCCGCCCGCCGCCGGCCGCCCGTTTGATGTCGCGGGCCCGGCAGGAATGCGGCCGGGTTATCAATCACCCAGCTGGATCCCGAAGGTCTCGGCCTAATCACATTTAATTGCTCGTGGAGGCCCACTCTCGCCCCGGGCCGGCCGCCGCGCTCAATTACTCCCCAAATACCTGCCATCAATAAATGAGCGCTGACACCGGCCCGGCCCGCTCCGCTGGCCCAGGAGACCTCAGCCGGCCAGGCGCCCGCATCCCGCCCCCACCCCATCCCCCATCATTAAACTTACACCTCGGCGCCGGAGGAGCAAGCCAAGCAGGTAACAGTCCCCGCTTAACTGAGCGCTTCGCAAGTGCGGGACACGGGTGCCCAGCGATTTACACGCATCGGCTAGGTGGAGTCTCAGCACCG